GGGTAGAAAGAGAAACAAAACATGCCACCTTGGGGACGTCCACGAGATCCCTTATACTACCTCCCCCCCCCCTTTCCTTTTTCTTTTTTGCCCGCCGTTGTCCGCTTTTAAAGGACCGGGCTAGGGCACACCAACATTTCGTCTTGACAGATGCCCATTAAGAAATGCCCCTTAGTTGAAATGGTCCTTTGCTTTTAACACTGTCCCAAGCGAGCCCAACAAATGTGACAGTGACAGCTGACAATGGGGTAGGGGGGTCGTGGTGACAAGTAAAAACAGCACTTTTAGTTTGGACATAATTTTACTTTTTATAGTTCAAGTGGTTCATTTGGAAAGATGTTTGTAAATGGGCAGAGTTTCTACTCGTTAACAGTGTAGCTTTTAGACGAAGCGCAACTGGGACTTCTGACAGGAGGGAAGGCAGGAGGGGAGACAGGAAGGGAGACAGGAGGGGAGGGGCGAGTCTTGTGTGGCTATTTTATAAATACTGCTCCATGTGTGTTTTGTTCGTTCTTGCAGAGCGCTGATGCCAGTGAAAACGTCACTATGGGGTGGAGGTATACCTGTCACTATTCATCAATAGCATCACGCATCTGGGGGTGAGGGGGGGGGGGGTCATCAATTTGTACCGATGTTATAAGGGTGTCTAAATTTTGCCTCATATTTCTGAAAATGGGGGAGGTGATCAAAATCAGGCGAAATAACGTGGCATCATATATCGGTGACCCCTTCTGTTTGTGGAAGGGGGGGGGTGGAGGTTTGCATGCCCAAAACCACTTGGGAGGGAAGTGTGCATGCCAGTACCCCATGGCGGGGAAGTGTGCATGCCAGTACCCCATGGCGGGGAAGTGTGCATGCCAGTACCCCATGGCAGGGAAGTGTGCATGCCAGTACCATTTGGCTCCACAGTGACACGGTAGGCTGGAGACGTCAGTGATGGACTTAGGGAACCCCAAAGCTCACACAAACCCATATAGTGATACAGACCATTCTTGAAAGAGGTATAAAGATGAATTCAATTTAAATAAGACCAAGGTATCTAACCTGACTTGTCTGATCGTGTTTTGGCGACCCCTGTGACTTGTTAAAAGAAACTTCATTTGAGTTTGGGCGTTGGGTGGGGGGGGGGGGGCAAACTTTGATTGATGTACATGTAATGAAAGAAGATGGAGTAATTCAATGTAGTATGTTTAATCTACTGGTGGTGAGCTACAAATACATGAACCAAAGATCTGCTACTCAACGGTCTAAGATTATATACAGTCTTTCTCTCTAACACATCTTCAAATGGTCTCAGGAGAATATGCCCTTCCCCATTCCCGCCCCTGGAATATGAGATATGTGTTTGAGCACGCTGAATAGATTTAAAGAGTTATGGAGATGTGAACGGGGGCCACATCTCATGTATCCTCATCCCACGCAGTGGTCCGTGTATGAACCGGTGAATGGCGTTGTGTGGACCAACTTGGAGTGATGAATCAAACTATTCCCTGTGTCAACACTTGGCGGGCTTTTATGGTGAGACGGTGCATGCTCTCGACAACTTGTACAGCAGCATTTCAAGTATTTCAACTCATTTCCTGTCGGCGTTAATAGTGTTGATTGTAAGTCTCGGAGTCAAGTGGACGCACCAGGGCTTGGAGTCAGGTGGATGCACCAAGTCTGTGAGTCACGTGGATGCACCAAGTCTCGGAGTCACGTGGATGCACCAAGTCTCGGAGTCAAGTGGATGCACCAAGTCTCGGAGTCAAGTGGATGCACCAAGTCTCGGAGTCAAGTGGATGCATCAAGTCTCGGAGTCAAGTGGATGCACCAAGTCTCGGAGTCAAGTGGATGCACCAAGTCTCGGAGTCAAGTGGATGCACCAAGTCTCGGAGTCAAGTGGATGCACCAAGTCTCGGAGTCAAGTGGATGCACCAAGTCTCGGAGTCAAGTGGATGCACCAAGTCTCGGAGTCAAGTGGATGCACCAAGTCTCGGAGTCACGTGGATGCACCAAGTCTCGGAGTCAAGTGGATGCACCAAGTCTCGGAGTCACGTGGATGCACCAAGTCTCGGAGTCACGTGGATGCACCAAGTCTCGGAGTCAAGTGGATGCACCAAGTCTCGGAGTCACGTGGATGCACCAAATCTTGGAGTCACGTGGATGCACCAAGTCTCGGAGTCAAGTGGATGCACCAAGTCTCGGAGTCACGTGGATGCACCAAATCTTGGAGTCACGTGGATGCATCAAGTCTCGGAGTCAAGTGCATGCTCAAGTCTTGTAGCCACGTGACTCAACTATGCAAACTTTCATGAAATCGTGGCGGTAGAAGAAAAGAGGGGGTGGGGGGGGGGAAGCGTATACGAACACCAACCCCTATGCCAGAGGTGTAGCCGAAGGAAGGGGGGGGAGCGTATACGAACAACACCACCCTATGGCAGAGGTGCCGCCGAAGGATGGAAAAGGAAAATGTATATAATTAGTCTCTTTTTCCATTAGTGGCATTAGGAAAAAAAGTTGTTTTGTATTTTAGTCGGGGGGGGGGGGTGTCTAAATTTCAAAAAGCAAAAGTCTCCCTTATACAGATAGGTTACTGTAATCCATTTCATATAGTTCATAGTGATAATAAGTAATAACCTGGTGCATTCACAAAACAATTTGATTACGTTTTTGTATTTGAAATCCTAGCAGATATTTGATGTTTAATGTTAGGATATAATTTTCTTAGAAAGGAACAAGGGTAGACAACCGAATAACGGAGCATAGCTGCAAGGATAGAAATGGGGGATACAAAAAACTAGCATCTTCTTTGCTTTTTTTAACTAATCTGTTCCACTCATTACATTATTATTGGAATATTCTTTTAGGAAAAAAATCTTGACAAAAAATAATTCGCTTTTTAGTCTAAGACCCCCCCCCCCTTTTTCGATACTATAGATCTTTCCAAAAGTTACTGGTATGGCACATAACATCATAACATATACTAAATCTGGGGTAATGGGGAGTGGTAGTGGCTTACAAATAACTGCATCAACCTGCTCTCTTCTGGTAGAATTGAGATTAATTTAAATTCACATCAACTTTCTCTAACACGTGAACAATTCACATCAACGTTGTCTAACACATGAACAATTCAGATCAACTTTGTTTAACACATGAACAACTCAGATCAACTTTCTCTAACACATGAACAATTCACATCAACTTTGTCTAATACATGAACAATTCACATCCACTTTGTCTAACACATGAACATTTCACATCAACTTTGTCTAATACATGAACAATTCAGATCAATTTTCTATGACTCATGAACAATTCACATCAACGTTGTCTAACACATGAACAATTCACATCAACTTTGTCCAATACATGAACAATTCAGATCAATTTTCTATGACTCATGAATAATTCACATCAACTTTGTCTAACACATGAACAATTCACATCAACTTTGTCTAACACATGAACATTTCACATCAACTTTGTCTAACACATGTACAATTCACATCAACTTTGTCTAACACATGAACAATTCACATCAACTTTCTCTAATTCATGAACAATTCAGATCAACTTTGTCTAATTCATGAACAATTCAGATCAACTTTGTCTAACACATGAACAATTCAGATCAACTTTTTCTAACACATGAACAATTCAGATCAATTTTCTTTGACTCATGAACAATTCAGATCAACTTTCTCTAACACATGAACAATTCACATCAAAGTTGTCTAACACATGAACAATTCACATCAACAAACGGAATCCAGCACATGAACAATGCAGCCGTTGGTTCAAGAATTAAATGTTTGAATAATTCAAAGACATTTGGAGAACTAAAGGGACATAATTAAATATTTAAAAAGAGGCGTGTTAGTCTTCAATGAATATTTATACGGGTACACAAACAGATGAATGGGCCGCAGCAAGAGTTGATCACCAGTTGTATCATCGGGTTCACAAACACATGAATGGGCCGCAGCAAGAGTTGATCACCAGTTGCATCATCGGGTACACAAACACATGAATGGGCCGCAGCAAGAGTTGATCACCAGTTGCATCATCGGGTACACAAACACATGAATGGGCCGCAGCAAGAGTTGATCACCAGTTGCATCATGAGACTTCATAGATTTGAACTGAAACTTTGAACTGAACAAACGTTTCATCCGTTTCTACACTTCACTTCGGTTATAAGCATCATGACAGCAGCCATCAGATGTTAAAACAAGTGTGCCTGGATGTAATCCCAGTGCTCATAGACAATTTAAACACCGGCCATCAGATGTTAAAACAAGTGTTGCCTGGATGTAATCCCACTGCTCATAGACAATTTAAACACCGGCCATCAGATGTTAAAACAAGTGTTGCCTGGATGTGATCCCACTGCCCATAGACAATTTAAACACCGGCCATCAGATGTTAAAACAAGTGTTGCCTGGATGTAATCCCACTGCTCATAGACAATTTAAACACCGGCCATCAGATGTTAAAACAAGTGTTGCCTGGATGTAATCCCACTGCTCATAGACAATTTAAACACCGGCCATCAGATGTTAAAACAAGTGTTGCCTGGATGTGATCCCACTGCCCATAGACAATTTAAACACCGGCCATCAGATGTTAAAACAAGTGTTGCCTGGATGTAATCCCACTGCTCATAGACAATTTAAACACCGGCCATCAGATGTTAAAACAAGTGTTGCCTGGATGTAATCCCACTGCTCATAGACAATTTAAACACCGGCCATCAGATGTTAAAACAAGTGTTGCCTGGATGTAATCCCAGTGCTCATAGACAATTTAAACACCGCCATCAGATGTTAAAACAAGTGTTGCCTGGATGTAATCCCAGTGCTAACGGAATCCAACTACCATTGATGTCACAGGATGGAGATATAAAATAAATAACTCAACTACAAAATGTCTCTAGATTTAAGTTGCTGTAAGTGTCAAGTGGTCAGGTTCATGCTTTCATAAATATCTTTAATTTCAATAAACAAAATAATGATGCTGCATATCATTTTTGTTGGGATGTTGTACATTATAGCCTTTTGGATGTCGGACATCATAACATGCAGCCAATCAAATGTCCACACTCACAAATCCTTCCTACATAAGAGCATGACTCTCTCTATCCCAGTAACATGCAGCCAATCAAATGTCCACTCTTACAAATCCTTCCTACATAACAGCATGACTCTCTCTACCCCAGTAACATGCAGCCAATCAAATATCTACTCTCAAAAGTCCATGCTACATTAGACCAAGACTCTATCCCAGTAACATGCAGCCAATCAAATGTCCACTCTCACTAGTCCATGCTACATAAGACCAAGTCTCTCTATCCCAGTAACATGCAGCCAATCAAATGTCCACTCTCACAAATCCTTCCTACATAAGAGCATGCCTCTCTCTACCCCAGTAATTTGCAGCCAATCAAATGTCCACTCTCACAAATCCTTCCTACATAAGAGCATGACTCTCTACCCCAGTAACATGCAGCCAATCAAATGTCCACTCTCACAAATCCTTCCTACATAAGAGCATGACTCTCTCTACCCCAGTAACATGCAGCCAATCAAATGTCCACTCTCACAAATCCTTCCTACATAACAGCATGACTCTCTCTATCCCAGTAACATGCAGCCAATCAAATGTCCACTCTCACAAATCCTTCCTACATAAGAGCATGACTCTCTCTACCCCAGTAACATGCAGCCAATCAAATGTCCACTCTCACAAATCCTTCCTACATAAACTGAGTTACAAAAACAGCTCCCCATTTACTGACTGCACAACTTTTATTTCTTTTTTTTCAGAGTTGCTTTAGAAGTTTTCCTCATTGATTCAAGAAGCTGATTCTCTTTGTATACTTCAGCCATGATGGTCTCCTCCTCCTCCTCGTTGACCTTGCTGCGATAGTGTAACATGAGGTCGTGCTTCTTCCAAGGAGTGGCGCTCTGCAACATATCACAAGGGAATTTAACATTGGTGGAAAATATTGGTGTGATTACACAAGTCTTGACAGTGATATACACGTTTTGACAGTGATACACACAAGTCTTTACATTGATATACACATGTCTTTACAGTGATATATAAAAGTCTTGATTGTGATATAAATATGTCTTGAGAGTGATATACACAAGTCTTGAAAGTGATATATACAGGTCTTGACAGTGATATATACATGTCTTGATAGTGATATACATAAGTCTTGACAGTGATATACACAAGTCTTGACAGTGATATAAAAAAGTCTTGACAGTTATATACACAAGTCTTGACATTTGGGCTTATCATTAGAAACACACAGGGACACATCTATAAAAACAAACACAGAAATACATCTATAAAACAAAACACATAGGGACATATATATATACAAACACATAGGGACACATTTATACCACAAAGCAAAGGGAATCAACTATACAGACACATAAGGACACATCTGTTTATAACTTTTCTTAAGTGAGATTTCTTTCACCCTGGAAATTCTACAGCATTATGTACCTTCTGAATTCCCTTAATCATTTTTGGTGTAAGCTCAATGGGTTCAATTCCTTTAAGATCCTGTCTTTCCCATCTCTCATCCCAGGGCTTTGGGTTAAGCTTCAACTGAAAAAATACAGTGTTGTTTTGGTTGTCTGATAAGAACAAATAGTATTTCAGTCAAGTACAGGAATTGATTGCAATCTCAGTCTAGCACAGGAACTGATTGTCCTCTGAGTCAAGTATAGGAACTGATTGTCCTCTGAGTCAAGTACAGGAACTGATTGTCATCTCAGTCAAGTATAGGAACTGATTGTCATCTCAGTCAAGTATAGGAACTGATTGCCTTCTCAGTCTAGTACAGGAACTGATTGTCATCTCAGTCAAGTATAGGAACTGATTGCCTTCTCAGTCTAGTACAGGAACTGATTGTCATCTCAGTCAAGTATAGGAACTGATTGCCTTCTCAGTCAAGTATAGGAACTGATTGTCATCTCACTCAAGTATAGGAACTGATTGCCTTCTCAGTCAAGTATAGGAACTGATTGTCATCTCAGTCAAGTATAGGAACTGATTGCCTTCTCAGTCAAGTATAGGAACTGATTGTCATCTCAGTCAAGTATAGGAACTGATTGCCTTCTCAGTCTAGTACAGGAACTGATTGTCATCTCAGTCAAGTATAGGAACTGATTGCCTTCTCAGTCTAGTACAGGAACTGATTGTCATCTCATTTAAGTACAGGAACAAATTGTCATCTCAATCCAACACAGGAACTGATTGCCATTCAGTCAAGTACACACACAATTAAAAGGAAGATGACCTCATTGAAGATTCGATATACTATTCAAATTCACATTTATTACACGTCAGGCTTATGTAAAGTAAATGGCTAACTGCAAGGACTTTAGCTCTCACCTTTGTTTAATGTTAAGCTCTCACCTTAAGGGTGTTGACTGGGATCTTAGCTCTCACCATAAGGGTGTTGACTGGGACCTTAGCTCTCACCTTAAGGGTGTTAACTGAGATCTTAGCTCTCACCTTAAGGATGTTAATTGGGATCTTAGCTCTCACCTTAAGGGTGTTGACTGGGACCTTAGCTCTCACCTTAAGGGTGTTGACTGGGACCTTAGCTCTCACCTTGAGGGTGTTGACTGGGACTTGAGCACCACGGGGCAGAGCAATGGGCTCCATGTCAAAACTGAATGTGCTGTGCTCCAGTGGGCAGTTACGCAGGTAGTACAGTCTGTCATCCAAACGTTTCTCCAGTCTGATGACCTCAATAGAATGTAGAGTTGGGCTGTACATTTGATAGAAGATTTCCACACCTGAAAGAAATGCAATCTTAATTTTACCCGATGGTTTGGAGGACGCTGCACAGCCCCACCAGACCAGCATCAATTGGTTTCCTTTAGACAAACATCGTTATTCAATAATTTCTTTAGTCAGATTATTTTGGGACAACCCTGGGTCCACAGAGGTTGAAAACCCTGTGCCCATTGATAGGGACAAACTGGACCCAAAAAAAGGTGACAACCCTGGACTCACAGTTGGGGGACAACCCTGAATAATTTGTTGGGGACAATCCTTGACCCAGAGATAGGAACAACCCTGAATCCACAGTTTGGGATAACTCTGAATATAAAGATGGGGACAACCCTGGACTCATTGGTAGCGACAACCCTGGCCAACTATAAAGAAAACGCTGGACCAACTAATAAGGACAACCCTGGACCCACTAACAAGGACAAACCTGGCTCACTAATAAGGACAACTCTGGACCCACTTACAAGGAAAACCCTGGACCCACTTACAAGGACAACCCTTGACCCACTAATAAGGACAACCTGTACCCACTAATAAGGACTACCCTATCACACTAATAAGGACAACCCTGTCCCCCTAAAAAGGACTACCCTGTCCCACTAATAGGACAACCCTGTCCCACTAATGAGGACAACCCTGGACCCACTAATAAGGACAACCCTGGACCCACTAATAAGGACAACCCTGTCCCACTAATGAGGACTAGCCTGTCTAACTAATAAGGACAACCCTAGACCCACTAATAAGGACAACCCTGTCCCACTAATGAGGACTAGCCTGTCCAACTAATTAGGACAACCCTGGACCCACTAATAAGGACAACCCTGTCCCACTAATGAGGACTAGCCTGTCAAACTAATAAGGACAACCCTGGCTCACTAATAAGGACAACTCTGGACCCACTAATAAGGACAACCCTGTCCCACTAATGAGGACTAGCCTGTCGAACTAATTAGGACAACCCTGGCTCACTAATAAGGACAACCCTGGACCCACTAATAAGGACAACCCTGGACCCACTAATAAGGACAACCCTGGACCCACTAATAAGGACAACCCTGGATCCACTAATAAGGACAACCCTGGCTCACTAATAAGGACAACACTGGCTCACTAATAAGGACAACCCTGGCTCACTAATAAGGATTACCCTGGCTCACTAATAAGGACAACCCTGGCTCACTAATAAGGACAACCCTGGACCCACAAATAAGGACTACCCTGGCCCACTAATAAGGAAAACCTTGGCTCACTAATAAGGAAAACCTTGGCTCACTATTAAGGACAACCCTGGCTCACTAATAAGGACAACCCTGGCTCACTAATAAGGACAACCCTGGCTCACTAATGAGGACAAACCTGGCGCACTAATAATGACAGCCCTGGCTCACTAATAAGGACAGCCCTGGCTCACTAATAAGGACAACCCTGGCTCACTAATAAGGACTACCCTGGCTCACTAATAAGGACTACCCTGGCTCACTAATAAGGACTACCCTGGCTCACTAATAAGGACAACCCTGGCTCACTAATAAGGACTACCCTGGCTCACTAATAAGGACAAACCTGGCTCACTAATAAGGACAACCCTGGCTCACTAATAAGGACTACCCTGGCTCACTAATAAGGACTACACTGGCTCACTAATAAGGACAACCCTGGCTCACTAATAAGGACAACCCTGGCTCACTAATAAGGACAACCCTGGCTCACTAATAAGGACAACCCTGGCTCACTAATAAGGACTACCCTGGCTCACTAATAAGGACTACCCTGGACCCACTAATAAGGACAACCCTGGCTCACTAATAAGGACTACCCTGGCGCACTAATAAGGACAACCCTGGCTCACTAATAAGGACAACCCTGGCTCACTAATAAGGACTACCCTGGCTCACTAGTAAGGACTATACTGGGCCCACTAATAAGGACAACCATGGACCCACTAACAAGGACAACCCTGGATCCACTTATAAGGACAACCCTTGACCTACTAATAAGGGCAACCCTGGACCCACTAACATGGACAACCCTGGATAAACTTACCAGGACCATCCTGGACCCACTAACAAGGACAACCCTGGACCAATAACAAAGCCACTAGTACCTTGGTTGTGTCTCAAACTGTCAACCATCAAACATGTGACATCACACTACCACTATCAAATGTTACTGATAGCTATGGTAGTAAATTGTGCTATAGCACTACCACAAATTCTCAACAATCATGTCATTGAAACATAGAATACCATCACCAAACATAACCCTCTAAAGGTATTTCAAATAGCAACCAAAGTTACTGACTCTAAGTTTTCCCAACAAGATTTCCCTCAAACTCAAAGAATGAGCGAACTTTAAAAAATAAAATGTAACAATTGCCTGATAATCGTGATGATTAAATAAATGTACCTAAGCCGTCCACGACGTTTCTGAGCACGAAATAAGCCTTCAGTCCATGGCCGCCTCGATCTATACAAATGCCGAGAAATCTGTTCTTCTTGTTCGGTGCAAAAGGATCAGAAACGGTCACTGCCATGATGCTACCTGGGGAAATAAACACAAAGTTCTTTCACTTGTTTGATTGTTAATTTGAATAAAAATAACAATACAGAGAATAGATATACCGACAATAGCAATAGAGACAATAATAATAGAGACAATTACAATAAAGTCGATAACAATACAGACAATAACAATAAATAAAGACAATAACAATACAGACAATAACAATAAATAAAGACAATAACAATACAGACAATAAAAATAAAGACAATAACAATAAAGACAATAACAATACAGACAATTCCAATTTAAAAGAAAACAAATATATTTATAACTATTTTTTCAAGGATGTTATCCTAATGGATAAAGACCAAACTAACACGTCCAAGCAAACCACAAAAACTTTAAAACATGCCGAACTAAACACACCAACGTAAAACTCTGGGATATTGATCACAGTTCTCCTCCTCAGCATATCTCTCCGCTCAAGTTTTTCCAGCACACGATCTCTGTACTCAAAGTGAGGTCTGGGCATAAATTCTGGCATTATGAACCTAGATTAGAAATATGATCAATGGATGTTTAGCCCATATTACCAAGAAAATGAAACGGTGTAAATACTATACTGAAAAATATATCAGAATAATAAATTTGATCAAAGATTAAAATTAAGTTACACGAGTAAATGAAAGAATGAATGGAAAAGGATGGTGATAAACTGGACAGATCAAATGTTTTCAGTACATCATTAAAACTTTGAATTATATCACGTTAATGAATTTTTTCTCTGGTTCAATAGAAACAATTTCAGATTGTAGTACAAACAATTTCAGATTGCAGTAGAAACAATTTCAGGTTGTAGTAGAAACAATTTCAGATTGTAGTAGAAACAATTTCAGATTGTAGTAGAAACAATTTCAGGTTGTTGTAGAAACAATTTCAGGTTGTAGCAGAAACAATTTCAGATTGTAGTAGAAACAATTTCAGGTTGTAGTAGAAACAATTTCAGGTTGTAGTGGAAACAATTTCAGATTGTAGTGTAAACGATTTCAGGTTGTAGTGGAAACAATTTCAGATTGTAGTGTAAACAATTTCAGGTTGTAGTGGAAACAATGTGCAGGTTTAGCAGAATCTCTTCAAGCATAGCACACACCAAAATGATGTAAAAATGTATTCTTAAGTTCAAGCCTAATATTAAAATAGTCGTATATCAATATTTAATGCAAGAGTTAATGAGTTAGACCAAATGTTGATCGAGACCACTAACTGCAGTTGGAAATCTTGACATGTTTGACGGCAGTTATTTCATTACTTGACATGCGGAGGGTACATTTGTATCGTGTTATGCCAATTCCCAACTCTCTATGGCTTAAAAGACTTGTATGAAGGCAGCGGTCCATACAAACTGCATGGGTCTCACTGGTCTTTGCAAGTCAGCTTTTTTAAAGCCAGAAATTTTTAATCTTTCCATGTACTAGTATAGTTGGCTGTCTTGGTTTTGGTGCAGGCATCCTGCAGTTACCACAGCGTCACCGGTTTAATGTGCTAATTGTGATGGGGGGCTTTGAACTCAAATGAACTCATTCTTTACCTGTAGTCTCTCGGAGCCTTCACATCAGTCTCCACGGTTATATTATCTGTCCCCTTCTGCAGAGGAGAGCTCCTGTGTTTATCCACAAGGTCGTAGTGCAGGTAATTGGGTTTCTTTCTTAACGCTTGGCCGATCTCTGCACGTGTGCGCTTGTAGTTAATGACATGGGTACTTTTGTATGCAACATTCACTTGGCTGGAAGATACTGGGAATGAAAAGTATATTTAAGTTTAGAAGGTTTGAAATCACATGTATGTTGGAACATAGGAACCCACACAAAAGTAAAAAAAGAAACATTCAGTGTATATATAATGTATTCACCTCAAAATTTTACATTGTACGCCAAGATCGTAAGAGTAAACAGGTCTGCTTTTTCTTTATTATTTTTTAAAAAATGAATCAGAAAGATCTTCAATTAACTTCAAGACTGTCATCTTAGATACAGTTATCATAATTTAGTTTCAATATTTGATAGTGGACAAAAAAAAAACTAGCAAATATGTTTACTCAGCAATTTTGCTTTATAGTGTAATCTTTGATAAATTTGAACAATACAAATGTTTGATTCAAAGATTCTTAAGGTCATGAGCTTATAATGTAATACAGTCGAACCCGCTTATCTCGACCTGGGTTACGTCGACATTTTTGAAGTGGAACCGTCTAATTCTCATTTTCTCATAGGTTATGTTGATTCTTTTATATCACGGAACCCTGATGTATCGAGCACAAAATCAGCCAAATTTGCCACTTAACCTAGATCCCCATGACCAATCGTCGGCTTTTGAACTCCGCAAGAAGAAATAGCAAACAACAAATAAACCAGTTTTTCATAATGAAAATAATTATTTATTTAAATAGAGGTTTAAAAACTTGGCAGAGTCCGTATTATAAATGATTATAATTTTCCGTGTGCAAAACGTTGTCATGGGCAGCCATTCACGGTCACTTGCATAATGGCTATGCTGTGATACAACATCAGAGTTTAATTCATAAGAGTTTGCCATGTGCAAAAGCTATTCAACCATTGATCAGAGAAAGCTTTGATTAAATAGCCATGTTCCAAAGTTGAAAGTTCAAAATAAGTAGTTCCTAAATTGGATTTTGGTAATAAGGGGATGTGTAGACATATATAAACAATATAGTCATTGCGCAAGACACGATCAGCAGAATGAGGTCACAAAATGTGGAGGCTTTGTCCATAGTAGAAAATACCAAATGAACTCGCACTGTAAAAATTCGTAGCTCAAAAAGAACTTAAGTTAAAAAGTTGATTCTGGCTTCATTTTTTTAATTTTTTAAATTTGAAATTTGCTCTAAGTAACTGTAATATTTAAAAATTATTTTTTTTTTTAAATAGTGTCCATAAAGTATGGCTAAGGCTGATTTTAGAATGTGATGTACCTTCAGCATATTTTGCAACAATGAACAAAGATTGATTCTCCCCAAATGGCCTAAGCATAATAACAGGGATGAATTCAAAGTGAGTTATATTTATTAGTTACACCTAGGGTGTTTAGACCTATGTTGCTGTGACTTAGAAGTTGGTGTTTATCCTAATTAGAACACCTCAACCTCAGAAACCAGTTGGTGTCAAAACAGCCTGTAACAAATCAGACCTGACAATGCTGGCAGTAACAATTCTGCCCCTTCAAATCAGCCCCAACAAAAGTGCCCTTGAAAAAAAACTCTGCACTCAATAGACCCACAGATGAACGGGATTGCATCATCTAGGGTCTCAAACGACTGAGGGAATGGGGATTGAGAAGATATACAATTTGTGAGCTGTGTACTAAAGATATTTCAAAAAAAAAAAAAAAATTGAGTCTATGATGGGATTGATGTAATTATTGGCTATTTAATATGTTCCGAAAAGAAATTATGATGCAAAGTGGAATGGATTTGATGTTTTGAAAGGTTTATTGCTGATTTCTGTTAAGGTATGAGTCTGTCCATAAGTTTTGTCACACTCCTGGGGGAGGTGAGTCTAAGAAAGTGTTTCAGTTTGTGAAAGATGGATGGGTTGCTGGAGGAAGTGTGATTGTAACGTGATTTATATATCGCTGATATCCATGCTACTGTAGCATGCTCACTGCGCTCTGGTTTACTTAAATCTATTTAAACAGAAAAGTTTTTAAATTTTTCTTAAATGATCTTTTATCAATTTCAATTCTGCTCAAAGATTGAGGCAAACTGTTCCATAATTTTGATGCTATCGCTTCAAAAGAGCGCATTGAGTTAAATATTTTATTAAATGAAATTATTGAAAAAAATACATTTATTATTTTATTTAGCATTTTTAGCTTGGTCCGTTTTCTTTAACACACCCCTTCCAGTGATAAAGACGTTAACAATTTCTCCCTATCCCGCTGATCGCAATGACTACATTCTGTGCTCCTCACCATTATAAAGTTCTTACTGTTACTTTATAATTTGTGTGAACAATTAAAGTCAGATATGCAAATTAGTTTATTTAAATGTAACCTCTTTAATAAAATGACATTTCAGTAATAGCTTCTAACTTTTTAAAATGCAAATAATCATAACGAGCTGTTTTGTTTAAAAATGATCATGTCCCATTATCAATTTAACAAACAGCAGTATAAATAGTCGAATATTGTTTTAGAATAGTATTTAACCATCTGAAAAACATACAATGCAGTATCCTAAAAGTAAATAAATAAACATACAGTATGATGTCAACAATAAGTAATCAATTGCATGTCTGATGATGTCTGAGAAAGGTCATCTCCTGAAGTTTATACATTTATATACAGTTCTTTATTTTTAAATAAAAAGGGTGCCCGTCATTCCACTTTGATAGATGAAGGTGGAGTGCGGGAGTGGAACTCGGGGACACTCATGGAAGTCACTCCAAGCGGAAGTGGGGAAATATGGGGATAGGACTGCAGTGATACACTTGTGCATTTACCTGAATAAAATTTTCCATCAATCTACATTTAATAGGAATGCTTGTTGAAAATAAGGTTCTCTTTACTGGCCAAAGAATTAAAAAATTATGTCACATTTACATCATACAGAACTGTAGCAAAAAACATTAATGTTGACTAAAGTTGTCACTTGGGCCACTACATTAATATTACTGTTGCCATATCTAGCAATTCATTGTGAAAACACAAAGCAACAATATGACTCTATGACTACACTAATATTAATATTACTGCTGCCATATCTAGCAATTCATTGTGAAAACACAAAGCAGCAATATGAGTGATTATCATCAGCTGTGAGGCTGTGTTATTTTATAGATTAATATTTAGACACCCCCCCCCCAACCATCTCCTAAGCACACACATTTGTTCCTAACTAAATCAACACCAACCCCCACCCCCTCTCTCAAACTCAATGCAAAAGTAATATAATTAAGGCTCGTCCCAGGCATAGGAATTAAACCCTCTACTTTAAGAAGTCCAACTTCGGTATGGTTCGTTAACAACTTTAACTTAAACTTAAGTGGGGTTTAGTTTGTTCAGCTTAAGTTTTGGTTTGGTTAAGTAACAGCTAAAGTTCAGGTTCAGTTCGGTACAGTACAGTAATAACTAAGGATGTAATGTTGTTGTAGAGGCTATTCGAACCTGGGTCCCTTTAGTTTTAGACTAAATGCTATATACTATTCTGATATCATTTGTGATGAGGTAGTTTATATAATTAATAAATTACTAGTTTTAGTTTTAAACTTAATAAACTTAATACACAAGACTAAGAGTAAGAGGTCAGTTTACAATATTATTTTAGTCCATTCTGACATTCAATTATCTTTCCCTTTCATTTAATACCAAACTTTGTCTTACAAACCCAATTACCATAATTGCATGATTCCTTCACAAAGTAGCACTTGTAATAATTAAAATATCCTCATCACCACCAGGCACAGAAACATTGCAAATCCTCTCTACATGCATAGGAGGCAAAATGATTAATAAATTGATCGTGGGCCCTTAATTCTACGCTCTTCAATTGACAAAAGAACCCTCTCAATCCCAAGAACCAAAACTAAGACCATGGGTGAACGCTCCTTCTACATCCATGCGCCCACGTTCTGGAACCAGCTTCCCTTCCACATCCGTCATTGTGAAACCTTGTCCACTTTCAAAAAGTCCCTTAAAACCCATCTGTTTAGGTCCGCCTATGACCTGTGATGCACCCTCTTCGCCCTGCCTCATTTTCTGTCTCAGGTTGATCCTGTAGTATAGGCCAAAACGTGCCAAAGTCAAAGTGTCCTCATTTTTATAGCCGTTTTAATGTTTAAGCTACTGTTTCTATAGTCCTTTTTAACATAGTTGTTACTATTCTAGTGTCTCTGGTTTTTCATGTTTATTTTACTTTAGACTTTAGCAGTTTAAATAGTTTACATGTTTTTAATAATTGAAATTGTAAAGCACTTAGAGCTGTAAGGTAAGCGCTATATAAAAATGCCTAAATAAAATATATAGAAGAAGATCATATTTTTAATATTTTTGTAATAAACCCAACCTCTCATCGGGTCAGAATAGCCGCAGCCTTGACGATAATTGGGAAAATTATTGGCATTGTTTTATAAAATTATTGCAAGTGAATCATGAATATCATGAATGACTGAATGACAAATTATGTGAGTGTGAGAAAATCAAATGAATGTGACCTACATTTAATTCAGCCACACACAGTTTTTCAAATCGGTAGCTAATCCATTAAATAACGAGAAATCTATTTATATTTAATTGCTTGTTATTTTATGGACTTACGGTATATACAAACAGAACAAGGTTTCCTAAGTAAAGAATTCCTTAATAGGTTTGTCAAGCTAATGGAAGCTGCCATCTTGTCCTTGTATAGTAAAAACTAGGGGCAAAGTTGTAATAATAAATGTTTTTTTTTTAAGACACAAAATGTAAAAAGATTCTTTCAAAATGTTATAGATGATAAATTCTTCATTTTTCTAATAATTTTGAAACTCTTGGATATTATAGATTATTATTGTCTTTTTTTGTTTTGGTTTTTTTAATAATTTATAAACTGGAATATGAAACGAAATTTTCGTTTCATTTTTCTTAAATCAGGAATTGTAACTATTATTCACACAATTTAATTTTTTTTCATGAACTCCCCCCCCCCCCCCCCCCCCTTTGATACATTCTGCGGCCCTCATTTATTCATATATGGAAGAATTTGTTAGTTTTATGAAAATATTGAAAATATATTTTAAAAGAAATGTTTCATTAGCATCTAAAATGGGCCTTAAGACTTAAGAGGGCATAATATTATTATAATTATTAATGTGTTCTTATATAGCGTGGTACCCCAGCCTAGGGCTAGGCTCACCGCGCCTCACATAAAAATTAGCATAAGAAGTGATAAGAAGGTAGAAAAAAAGAAATTATTAGACTTAGGCATAATTATGCATTGTTTTTTAAGTATTGCATTCTTCATGATTTTTAAAATAGAATTAGTAATCAATCACACTTAGAAATCAAATCTGAAAAGAAAAAAAAAAACAGCTGTTCTGCAATACTTTTAAACCCATTTCCGAAATATGCTGGCACTTTAATTATTTGGGATTCGAGCAAATATTTACTTTGTTGGCTAAATAATTATATCTTCGTCTGTTAATGTAACATATAGTATGACTCTTCTGGTAATTAGGCCCCCTATTTCAATTTGAAAGGAGCACCCCATTCGAAATTTTAATTAAGTGCAACCCGCCCCTCCCACTCTCCTTCCGTACGTATTTCTAGTATTTTTTTATGTAGTATTGATGCTGTTCTTGTGTGAAAATTCGGTTAAAATAAAGAAAAAACAATTCATTTCTAAAATAATAAAAATAGTAAAAAATGCTAAAGAAGAAAGTGCTGAGGTAAAGATGGGTGGGGATGGGCTGAGGTCAGGATGGGTGGGGACGTGCTGAGATCAAGATGGGTGGGGATGAGCTGGGGTCAGGATGGGTGAATATGTGCTGGGGTCAGGATGGGTGGATATGTGCTGGGGTCAGGATGGGTGGATATGTGCTGGGGTCAGGATGGGTGGATATGTGCTGGGGTCAGAATGGGTGGATATGTGCTGGGGTCAGGATGGGTGGATATGTGCTGGGGTCAGGATGGGTGGATATGTGCTGGGGTCAGGATGGGTGGATATGTGCTGGGGTCAGAATGGGTGGATATGTGCTGGGGTCAGGATGGGTGGATATGTGCTGGGGTCAGGATGGGTGGATATGTGCTGGGGTCAGGATGGGTGGATATGTGCTGGGGTCAGAATGGGTGGATATGTGCTGGGGTCAGGATGGGTGGATATGTGCTGGGGTCAGGATGGGTGGATATGTGCTGGGGTCAGGATGGGTGGATATGTGCTGGGGTCAGAATGGGTGGATATGTGCTGGGGTCAGGATGGGTGGATATGTGCTGGGGTCAGGATGGGTGGATATGTGCTGGGGTCAGGATGGGTGGATATGTGCTGGGGTCAGAATGGGTGGATATGTGCTGGGGTCAGGATGGGTGGATATGTGCTGGGGTCAGGATGGGTGGATATGTGCTGGGGTCAGGATGGGTGGATATGTGCTGGGGTCAGAATGGGTGGATATGTGCTGGGGTCAGGATGGGTGGATATGTGCTGGGGTCAGGATGGGTGGATATGTGCTGGGGTCAGGATGGGTGGATATGTGCTGGGGTCAGGATGGGTGGATATGTGCTGGGGTCAGGATGGGTGGATATGTGCTGGGGTCAGGATGGGTGGATATGTGCTGGGGTCAGGATGGGTGGATATGTGCTGGGGTCAGGATGGGTGGATATGTGCTGGGGTCAGGATGGGTGGATATGTGCTGGGGTCAGGATGGGTGGGGATGTGCTGAGGTCAAGATGGGTGGGGATGTGCTGGGGTCAAGATGGGTGGGGATGTGCTGGGGTCAGGATGGGTAGGAATGTGCTAAGGTCAAGATGGGTGGGGATGAGCTGGGGTCAGGATGGGTGGGGATGTGCTGAGGTCAAGATGGGTGGGGATGTGCTGAGGTCAAGATGGGTGGGGATGTGCTGAGGTCAAGATGGGTGGAGATGTGCTGAGGTCAAGATGGGTAGGAATGTGCTGAGGTCAAGATGGGTGGGGATGGGCTGAGGTAAAGAATTTTTTTTCTATTTTATCTATGTGAACGTCCTTGGCCAAGAGATATATCAATTGTTCGAAGCGAAACCCATAGTCACAACAATTTATAAATGCAGACTGCACTGCACCTGACACACTGAGAGTATGCCAGATTGTTGAGCAGGCAGACTGCACTGGGACTGACACACTGAGAGGAAGCAAGATTGTTGAGCAGGCAGACTGCACTGGGACTGACACACTGAGAGGAGGCAAGATTGTTGAGCAGGCAGACTGCACTGGGCATGACACACTGAGAGGAGGCCAGATTGTTGAGCAGGCAGACTGCACTGGGCATGACACACTGAGAGGATGCCAGATTGTTGAGCAGGCAGACTGCACTGGGCATGACACACTGAGAGTGTGCCAGATTGTTGAGCCGGCAGACTGCACTGGGCCTGACACTCTGAAAGGAGGCCAGATTGTTGAGCAGGCAGACTGCACTGGGCGTGACACACTGAGAATATGCCAGATTTTGAGCAGGCAGACTGCACTGAGCCTGACACGCTGAGAGTATTCCAGATTGTTGAGCAGACAGACTGCACTGGGCATGACACACTGAGAGGAGGCAAGATTGTTGAGCAGGCAGACTGCTCTGGGCCTGGCACACTGAGAGGAGGCCAGAATGATGAGCAGCCAGACTGCACTGGGCATGACACACTGAGAGAAGGCCAGATTGATGAGCAGGCAGACTGCACTGGGCATGACACACTGAGAGTATGCCAGATTGTTGAGCAGGCAGACTGCACTGGGCATGACACACTGAGAGTATGCCAGATTGTTGAGCAGGCAGACTGCACTGGGCATGACACACTGAGAGGAGGCCAGATTGTTGAGCAGGCAGACTGCACTGGGCATGACACACTGAGAGTATGCCAGATTGTTGAGCAGGCAGACTGCACTGGGCATGACACACTGAGAGTATGCCAGATTGTTGAGCAGGAAAAGTAATCTACAGGCAGAAATTTAGGGGCAGACGGCTCACTTGGTCGACCAAGACAGAGATGCATTGACCATGTAGAGAAGCACTTACATCAGCTGGGGGTCCGAGCACGGAGGCGGAAAGCCATAGATCGTTCCGAATGGGAAGATGTGGTGGAGCAAATCAGGGGTCTGGAGAGGCCATGTCAACCGAGTAAATCACTCAAGGACCTTCCCCGCACGGGGCCCCAACTGCTGAATTGTATTCCCAAGTTATTGATACGCAACTTCATATGGGCACCGTTTATCCATATCTCATTAACTTCCCCCTGCAAAGGCAACGAGTAGGTAGGTCTGCATTGTTTGTCACGATCCAGCAAGAGTGAAGCTGTGTAACACCTGTGTGACAGGGCATCCCCCCGCCAGATGCCAGATGAAACTTTAAAGATTAATGTGAAACCTGCCAATTGATATAGCACCAGAAAAACACATAATGCTAACAAGCTGCAGGCTGTTGAGAGACTTTTGAATGTAATCCATAAAAACTCAGAATCCGAAAGTCTGGCAGTCAGCGTGCTTCCCTTGAAGTCACACATCTTAATGAGAACCAGAGGCGTAGCAAGGGTGTTTGGCGCCCGGGGACAAGATTCGCGCCCGGGGACAAGATCTATTTTAAAGCGCCCCTTTTTCTTTTTTTTCAACTCTCAAACCCATTATTTTCATCAATAAAATAATATCAAAGCACATTTTGGCGCCCCTAACTAGCTGGCGCCCGGGGACATCTGTCCCCCCTGCACCCCCCTTGCTACGCCTCTGATGAGAACTAACAAGTCCCTGATATTGATATGGCTCAGAGAATTCACGGAATGGCTGGGTTTTTTTTCCACTGGGGAAATAATTTAATGTGGATGTCTTGTGATCAAATTGTTTTATTTATGTTCTGAAAATGTACAACACAATCAAAAAGCATTTCCATTTGTTTGGATTAATGAAAGAATCGTATCTTATCTTATCTTATCTTATCTTATCTTGAAGGCCACACATAACGAGACCAAACCATCTTAATATTATAACATTATTTTGGCGCTATGAAATCATACCTAACCGGCAGACACCAAATATT